ATGGAAACCTTACAAATACTGATCCTCCTCAATCTAAATGAGGAGAGAGAGAGAGATGAAACAGGAGGAAATGGGCAAGTGTGATGAAAGTTAGTGCAAGTGAGAGATGTCAGAAGAGTTGAGAAGAATCCTAGGTGGGAGGAGATGATGGAGTGGCCTTTGGATGGACTCTTTTTCTTGTATGACCATACAGTCCATACCTTCAGTGGCCAAACCAAGTGCCAGTATTCAAATCCAAGCACTGACTGGTTTGACCACAAAATATGTAAGTTATATAATGACAGAATATAAAAACATGTTCATCCCGAACCCATGGTGGAGTCAGATTTGGGTCTGTACCCCTGACACCCAGAGCTCTTCAATAAAAGCACCTGCATATAATCATTCCGTGATTATGTGTTCCTGAATGCTAACAATAGCTGGTAAGAAGATCTGAAGGGTCAACCCGAAGGCAGTGATCTCGCTTGGGATGCAATGTGGCCCCGAAAAGGCACAAGGCTTCAGGAGATGGACAGTTTGGCAGAGGAGAGGAACATGGACAGCCCTGAATTTAATCACTGCAATGCAGTTTGGTACCAAGACCAAATCCCTTTCCCCAGTTCTAAACTGAGGATAAGCATTACTTATTGTGAAAAATGCATATTATATGATTGACTCTTCACAAATATTAAAATGACTACTAAATGTGTTATGTTGGAAAGTTATGCTGTATTAATCTCTTTTAAGTAGCGTGGTAAATATAGTTTTTAGGCTATAGCATAATATTAAAATAGAAACTAGGTGATGTAAGATACTTTTTGTAACTAGCTCAAGGAATGGATAAGATAATCAAGAAATTCTTCGCTTAGAGATAACAGCAACAAGACACCAAGATCCCAAGAGAAGAATTATTGCCTGTTTATCCGGACGACTCAGACTTCGAGGGACCAAGGCAATTGATTTACAATATCAGGGGGGGGAAGTAGACATTAAGCAGAAACACCCTTAGTTTTGAAAAGAATGTTTGAATCACATATGAGATATATGAATATGCAATAGGCTATTGCTTTTAAGGGTTAATCCTTTGTTAGCAAAACGTGCTTTTGTGGCAGAGCAAAAGCACCCAGACATCCATAATTCTTTGCTTTTTATTGTCTTTTATTGTCCTAACTTTGATTGTCCAAATTCTTTTTGCCCTAATTTTTATTACTATTTTTATTACTATTAAACTTCTAAAATTTTAACACAAGTGAATGGTGTTTTTCACACTTATGCACTTTAAAGGGGTGTTATGAGGATAAATTAGCACCTAATTGAACTATGAAAGAGAAAAGCACTATATACTAAATATTAAAACCTGTAATCAAACTGTGTCACTTTATAGATCTAACAGATTAATCTCCTTTCCTTTGACCTCTGGCTTTGTTAACGTCTGTCATGACTTTTTTTAACTAAGTTTAACATCATGTATTTACAGTTAAATACAATAAATATTTACGCTCAGTATATAGATACAGCCATCCATACATACTCCTACTCTTTTACTAAAATTGCTAAATTGCAATCTTAGTAATAAAAGCAGGAATACCATGCACATTTCTTTTGTAAGACTCAACATCCAAATACATTTTGAAAACAAGATAAAAGCCTTTTATATTTATGGTCATAGCAGCTTACACCTTAAATATAATCAAGTCCCAAGTTATAAGAAGCAGCAGCATTTAAAAAAAATTAAGGACTTTGATAATTGCGTTAGGAATTTTAAAAGCAACTACTTTCAAACTGAGCAACCACATTCAAGAACTGGTCTCATATATAAAGAACTTAATCTTGAAAAGTAAATAGAAGCAAATAGGGGGTTTGACTAAAATAGGCAAAGAATAGCCTATATCACAAATTACTTAGAGTACAATAGTAAACTCAATAAGCCAAAATAATGTTCAGTAAGGCGAAGTGCTGGGTCCTGCACGTGTGTCACAACAAGCCTATGCATTGCTACAGACTGGGGGAAGAGTGGCTGGACTTAGGGATGCTGATTGACAGCTAGGTGAATATGAGCTAGCAGTGTGCCCATGTAGCCAAGAAGGCCAATGGCAATCCTGGCCTGTACCAGCAATAGTGTGGCCAGCAGGACCAGGGAAATGATTGTCCCTCTGTACTTGGCACTGGTGAGGCTACACATCAAATCCTGTGTTCAGTTCTGGACCCCTCACTACAAGACAGATATTGAGGTGCTGGAGTGTGTCCAGAGAAGGGCAACGGGGCTGTGGAAGAGTCTGGAGAGTAAGTCCTATCAGGAGCGGCTGAGGGAGCTGGGGGTGGTTAGAGAAAAGGAGGTTCAGGGGGACCTTCTCACTCTCTACCTGACAGGAGGTTTTAGCAAGTTGGGGGTAGGTGTCTTTACCCAGGCAAGTAGCAACAGGACAAGAGGACATGGCCTCAAGCTGTGCCAAGGGAGGTTCAGGTTGGACATCAGAAAGAATTTCTTCATGGAAAGGGTTGTCAAGCATTGGAATGGGCCTAGGGAGGTTGTAGAGTCACCATCCCTGGAGGTGTTCAAGAAACAAGTGGACTTGGCACTTAGTGCTGTGGTCTAGTTGACAAGGTTGAGATCATTGGAAGGTTGGACTTGATGATCTCAGCGGTCTTTGCCAACCTTAATGATTCTGTGATTCTATGATTCTAATTTTTTGTTAATATAACGGCAGAATGTAGCATCTTCAAAGTAAATTGCTTCCTTGGTCCTTATTTCTGAAGTATCACAAGAGTTGTTTTAATCTTCAAATGAAACGATGCCACATTATTTACTCAGCCATGCTGAATTTTTTGAACTTAATTTTATAAAAATCTTAGGAATTTAAGTATACAAGTAAAATGTAGATTAATATTTTTTATTAAATATAACCTCATGGCAGAATCAAGAAGATATGGGAAAACAACTACAACTAAAAGCATGTGTACTATGCAAGATTGAATTATCCAAGCTAGAAACCAATCATGTTGTATGTTGATTTGCAACTGAATAGTAACTGATTTTATAAACTTAATGTCTTCAGAATTATTCTAAATAGTAGTTATATAGAAACAAAGCTGATAACATTACAAAATATTATGCCTTAGACTCCCCAAATGATTCAAAGCTTAGACATAAGTAATTTCATCTTTTGTTTAATTTCATAAATCTTGGGTAAAATATAACAACTGTTTAGTAGTGTACAGCATTAAAGAAAAACAGGAACTACTGTGAAGCAGACAGTACTAATAAGAGAAAATGTAAAGAAAGGACTGGTGTGATGGTTTTGACTGAGTTGATGTTAATTTTTTCCACAGTAGCTCTATGGGTGTATTGGGTTTGCATGAACAGGTTTTGGTAGTGGGGAAGCTACAGAGGTGTCTTATGCCAGAAGCTTCCCCCATGTCCATCAAAGCCAGTTCCAGCCAGCTCCAAGATAAACCCCCTGCTGCCCAAGGCCAAGCCTATCAGTGAAAGCAGTAGCACCCCAGTGATAACATATTTAAGAAAGAAATTACAGCACAGAAGCAATTTGGGCCAGCATAGAGAGGAATGAGAATATGTGAGAGGAAAAACTATGCAGACACCAGGGTCAGTGTAGGAGGGGGAGGAGGTGGTTCGGGTGCCGGAGCTGGCATTCCCTTGCAGCCCACAGTGAAGACCATGGTGAGGCAGCTGTGTCCCTGCAGCCCACAGAGGTCCACAGGGGTGCAGAGATCCACCTGCAGACAGTGGAGGAGCCCCATGCTGGAGGAGGTGGATGTGCCTAAAGGAGGCTGTGATCCCATGGGAAGCCCCTGCTGGAGCAGGGTCCTGGCAGGACCTGTGACCCTGTGGAGGGTGGAGCCCATGCTGGAGCAGGTTTGGTGGCAGGAGATGTGACCCTGTGGGAGACCTACACTGGAGCAGCCTGTTCCTGAAGGACTACACCACATGGAAGGGTCTTACATTGGAGCAGTTTGTGAAGAACTGTACCTTGTCAGAAGGAGTCACATTGGAGAATGTTATGGAAAACTGTTTCCTGTGGGAGGGTGTGCTGGTATGAAAGTAGACTGATGGGAGAAATGAACCCCATTCAATTACCTTAAGAGAGATTTCAGGACAGAGTTACAATTTAATAGAGAGATTACAATAAATGCAATGATACACAGAAAGCTGGCTTCAACCCACAAAGTCAGAGTACAACCTGGCACCCTGTTGGTCAGGGTGATGGTCACAGTCCTATCAAGTGGTGGTTGCAGTTGAAAGCAGTGGTCCTATAGAAGTATTGGTCCTCCTCTGGATATGTCGAGTGGTGGTGGTGGTGGTGTCCCAAATCCCCAAAATCAGAGATTATATATGCTTAGGTTTAGGTGGTAATGGTCAGTACCTGCCCCAGGCTGGGAACTTTCACAATGGAATGATGTAATACAGTGAGTCATTGCAGCTGCCTATTCTGACAGTTCCATTGAGTCCATTATGGCCTATTACCAGAGGTGACCGCCTCAGGATTGTTGTGACTGTGCTGCTGCTTCCCCAAAAAGAGTTATCACAGCTGAGTAATTGATGTGAAGAAAAAGAAACACTACCCTGCCTTGCAGGGTTGCCTCTCTTTTCCTTATCTCATTTAACATCCATCTTGTAGCCTGAGGTGTCAAGTGTGCACTGGGCAGCTACTGTAAATGACCCATCATTAACAGCATGTCAGAAATGAGGTAGAGAGGAGTCGAATATACCTTTTGTTACATCCACATACTGCTAAACTGGCACTCTACTCCTGTAACCAGGACAGAGGGAACGAACCCACATTGGAGCAGGGGAAGAGAGTGAGGAGTCCTCCCCCGAGGAAAAAGCAACGGCAGAAACAACATGTGATGAACTGACCACAACACCATAACGTAAACATCATAAAAATTACAAAGTAATTAGGTTGAAAGGGACTTCAGGAGGTCACACTCCTGAGTGCCACAAAAAATAATATAAAAAAACCAGAGAGGGAATGAAACAAAAGAACAAGCATCAAACTTACCATGGACTTGATTGATTTCTGAATTCTGAGAAAGAATTTCATCTGCTAATTTCTGAGCAGTTGGCAAAACTTCTGTGTGGTGCACTGTGATCAAATACTGAACAAATTTTTGTAGTTGGTCTCTGTTCATTTGAAACAGTGTCTCTGAAATGGGAAGATGCAGTTTGACCTGATCTGGCTTGCGGATCCGGTATAAAGAGAGTGCCACAACATGGGCACAGTAAAATATGTCCTTGTTTCCACAGCTACAGGTCACTGAGGTAATCTTGCAACGATCAAAGCTGATAGCTACATTGCAAACAGTTTCTGGCTCCGAGTGCATTGCAGGGTCTGTCACAGTGCCACTCAAGTGGAAACCTGTGAAGGGAAAAAAAGGAAGGCTTACATTCTTAAATAAAGTACCATATCTCATTTTTGATAACTTTTAATTAATCTAGCAAAAGTCATCATGTATTTCTGAGAAAGAATATATCTCATAGAACTTGCTTTAATTACAAGTATGATGAACCCTGTCTTTCTGTCATACCCTTTTTATATTCAATAAAATCAAAAGGAGCTGGTTTACAAGACCTCTTTGCCATTCCAGCACAACATTCATAAAAATTTGATAGTAAGAAAAAGTTACTTGTAAATGATAGCTGCAGAAGCAGAGTTGCATCCAATTGAGACCAATGTGAAACTCCCAGTAGTTCAGCAAGCTGGCAGCAATTTTCCAAACCTCACACCAGTCTGCACTTACCAGCAAATTTGCCCATTCTCTCAATAAGTAAGAGGAAAGTAGTGCACTCTAGTGGCACAAACCCTGGTCCTAATCTCAACTCTGCCACTGATTCACTGACACAAGTCACTTAACCTCATTGCTTTCACTTCTCCCACCACTGAGCTGATGCTAAAGCTCATCATCAATCCAAGCAATCTGGTAGGGCAGCTATGTTGGTGTAACTCTTGGGAAATGGAAACTGCTGCAGTTACCAATACACAGGATATCAGATTCATAATAGTCAGTGAGACATACACACACTGTTTCAGAAGTGTGCATCTCCACTTAGCATGATATAGCATAAGGCAAAATAACTGGTTTTTCTTATATTTTAAGAAGATATGGTATACCATAAGAAAGACCTTTACTTCAGCCACTACTCTACAGAGCATCCTGTTGAACCAAGGTCTCAAATGGTGTTCTCTGAAGATCAGACCTGAACGCATCTCTGTTTTCCCAATGTTAAGGCCCAGCTTTGGCTCTCAATACTTTATCACTGCAGAATTTGGGTGTTTCTTTTGGATTTTATGTAAACATAACATTGATTTTTGGTTCAGGCATTAAGTCAGAGGTATAGCTACAAAGCAATACAAACAAATTACATATTATCAGTATTAAACTTGAACAGACTGCATACATAAAATCTGGAATGTATATTACAAGTAAGGTGTTATACATTACTATTTATAATAGAAATTATATAAAGCCACACTCCCTCAAAGTCCAAAACTGATTCAGTATTCTTGTATTTCAAGAAAAGTGTGTTGTAAGAAGCAGTATCACATGAAAATTAGGTAGTAAAAAAGAAATACATACATAGTTATAGTCCAAAATATTGCATCTCAAATTGTTTTTAAGAAACTCTTTAATCTACTGGAAATGAAGAGGGAAATCTAATTTTTTCCATTTGTTTATGCTGTGCATTTCAGATCAGGTTGTGCAGTCAGTATCACTGTCTGGATTTTGTTCAGCTGCAGAAATTTGATACTCTACCAGAAGTCATAGACACAGACTTGATTTTTGCAAGATAATGTTTATCAGTTAAAGTAGTTAGAGTTGGAGAGGCAGTAAGCTGTAAAGTGCACAGATACAAGGGAGGGGGGAGGAGGATGAAGAACCCCAGGCATACTTTGCATTCTTGCTCTTGGCTCCACTCAACACATACAGAGAAGGGGAAGGGAATTGCCCCTTGAATAATGAGCTCCTCCCTCTGACTTTCCCTTTGGTTTTTAAGTAATCATAGCATGCTCCCGTGAGTGCCCTCTCTCAAAAAAGAGGCATTGTTAAAACTTATCCAGCTCTATTTCAGGTTAATTTCCAGTAGAGATGTATTGGTGGTCTCAAGGAAATTGTATAGGAGATATATTTTTTTAATATCACTTTCCTATTAAGTATATATCAAAGTCTCTCATTTATGACCTGAGAAAAAGTGTAACACTTGAACACTCAAAAAGGGCCTGATCCTACTCCTTCCTGCTCTCAGTAAGTAGCTGAATTGGGTCTGGTTGAGCTGGAGTTAATTTTCTCATAGCAGCCCACCCAGTGCTGTGCTTTGCAATGATAGCCAGGAAGGTGTTGATAACACACCGGTGTTTTGGCTACTGCTGACCAGTGCTGGGACAGCATCAGTGCTGTCTCTCCAACATTCCATCCCATCAATAGGATGGGCGTGGCCAAGACCCTTGGAGGGCACACAAGTAGGCCAGCTGATCCAAATTAGCCAAAGGGATATTCCATACCATATGACGTTAGCTCAGATATATAAGCTAAGGGAGAGAGGAAGAAGGGGGGGAATTAGTGAGTTTTCAATGTTTGCTTTCTGGAGGAACTGTTACGCGTGCCGAAGCCCTGCTTCCCAGGAAATGACCGGACATTGCTTGCTGATGGGAAATAGGGGATAAATATTTTTTTTTCCCTTTTGCTTGTGTGCATGCAATCTTTCACTTTTGCTTTAGCAAACTGCCTTATCTCAATGTACTAGTAAAAGCCCCCCTCTAATGGCCATCACTGATGATGACTGAAGGGGACTGGAGGATTCTTCCCTGGCAGAACTTCTGCTTACAGCTAAGATGGGAAATGAGGAGGTAAATGAGGAGGTAGAATTCTTAGTAGATATGGGAGATAGTTACTTGGTGCTAAATACAGTAAAAGGAAACTTGAGTAATGATTCTATAACAATTATTGGTGCAACAAGGAATCACGAAACTCAGCCTGTAGCAGTGGGGGTTTTGGGGGTTTTTTGAGGCTGTTTGAAGCTCCTTTGCAGTAAGTTTTGGGTATGTTTGGTCTCTGGTTGTATGGTTGGGATGGCGGTTTGGGGATGTTTGGTCTGTGTCTAGCCTCCTGTCTAGCCTGTGGCAGTTGGAGTGATTTCTCTCTGTCTGTCCCCAAAGATCCTGCCCCTAGCCTGGAGGGTTCCCTGTCAGTTATAGTCTTTTCTCTTTACTATTGGTTTGTCTTTCCTGCCTTAGCTTCTGACCTTCCCCCCCCCCCCAATTTCCCACGCTCTCTTACATAAAAACAGCGGTTTTCTCTGCCCCTCCACTCTCTGCCACTGCCTTCCCCTTCGAGCTGCTGGCTCCTGCGCACTGCCGGACCCCACGCGGTGCAGGCACTCCCTCCGCAGCCGGCGCCCCTCTCTGCCCTGGGAAAGGACATCGCCCCGCTCCTGCCGGAGCCACTGCCGCCCCCCATGCAGCCGCGGTTCCTGCTGGGAGAGAGGGATCGCTCACCAGTGCTGTAATAAACATACCGGCTTTACAACTTTTACAAAGTTGTGGAGTTAGTTTTTTTTTTTTTTTTTTTGCAAATCAGTGCCCAGGAGATCCAGAAGAGCAGAGCCTGTAAAGATTAAATTGAAACCTGGAGTGGGACCAGTAAGGCAAAATTAATACCCTTTGAAAATAGAAAGTCGCAAGGGGTTATTATCCCTTGTGGAAAAATTTATAAAATACGGTCTATTGAAGGAATGCAAATCCAAATTTAATAAACCTAATTTGCCATTTAAGAAGGCAAATGGAAAGGATTCCTGGTTGGTACAGGATCTTAGAGCCATAAATTAGATAGAAGAAGATATACATCTGGTAGTAACAAAATGTTATACCTTGCTAACAACCTTAAGTGAAAAATTAAAATGGTTTACAGTGTTAGACTTGAAAGATGCCTTTTTCTGTATCCCTTTGAGTACTGAAAGTCAAGAGCTTTTTGCTTTTGAATGGGAAAAGCCTAACACAGGAAGAAGAACCCAACTGACTTGGACAGTTCTACCGCAGGGGTTTAAAAATAGCCCCACCATAATCAGAAATCAATTGGCAAAAGAAGTGGAGTGTAGCCATGATATTTTATGAAAAATCCTTTGCTAGGATTTTTCCCTCCTGGGAAGCTGAGGAGCCTCAGGAGAGAAATGTAAACAATAACTATCTGCTGCTGTGGAATGCAACAGGTGCATCTTCCATTGGTCCATGTAGATTGTTTTCAATTGATGACCAATCACAGCCACCTGTGTCGAGGCTGTGAGCAGTCACAAAATTTTGTTATGCATTCTATTCTTGTTCTTTCTAGCCTTCTGATGATGTTTTTCTCTCTATTCTTTTAGTATAGTTTTAATGTAGTATTTTAATATATGTCATAATATAATAAACCAGCCTTCTGAAAACATGGAGTCAAGCCTCGCGTCTCAACACATGGGGTGTTTCCAACAGTGGAGGAATGGAAAAATCAGAACCCTGCTGGAGTCTTGTTACAGTATGTAGATGACATTCTGATAGCCACTGAAACTGAACATCAATGTTGGGATCAGACTGCAGCATTGTTAAATTTTCTGGGACTAAGTGGATAAAGAGTATCCAAAGACAAAGCACAAATAGTCCAGACCACAGTAACCTATTTGGGATTCGAAATCCTCCAAGGACAAAGGAGGCTGGGACAGGAAGGAAAAAAGCAATTTTCCAGCTCCCACAGCCACAAATGGTAAGAGAATTGTGTGCCTTTCTCAGGATGATCAGATGGTGTTGCCTGTGGATCAGCAGTTATGGGCTGCTGGTAAAGCCACTGTATGAGCTCTTGAAGAAAGCTCAGAAGGACTTTATAGTCTGGACTGATGATCCACAGGCTGCCTTTTTACAACTCAAGTGAGCCCTTATGCGTGCCCTTGCTTTGGGGCTCCCAGACCCCATGTGCCTGTTTGAACTATTTACTGATGAAAGAAAACACACAACACTGGGAGTGCTGTCACAATTCCTCAGGGACCAGAGGTGGGCTGTGGCCTACTTTTCAAAGCAACTAGATCATTTCAGCCAAGGCTGGCCTAGTTGTCTGAGGACAGTAGCAGCTACTGTTCTCTTGATCCAGGAAGCTCAAAAACTGACTTTGGGACAAAGCATGATTGTTTATGTATCACATATGGTGTAGTCGGTACTTGAGCAAAAAGGGGGCCACTGGCTATCTCCTAGCCAGATGCTAAAATATCAAGTAGTCTTGCTGGAGCAAGATCATGTGACACTCAAAATGACTTCTATTGTTAACCCTGCTATGTTCTTACTTGCCCAACAAGTAGAAGGAACCCCAGAGTATGATTGCTTACAGACTACAGAGGAAGTGTGTTCCAGCAGACCTGACTTAGGAGACTGACTCTTGGAAAGAACTGATTGGGAATTGTTCACCGATGGGAGCAGCTTTGTCCAAAATGGAAAACAATTATGTGGATATGCAGTGACTACACACCATGAGGTAAACAAATAGGGGGCATTCCTCTCCAATGTTTTGGACCAGAAAACAGAACTAATTGCACTCACTTGAGCATTGGAACTGAGTAAAGGAAAATGAGTTAACATTTGGACTGATTCAAAATACGCCCTTGGAGTGGTACATGTACACGCAGGGCCATCTGAAAAGAAGGAGGCCTTTTGACATCTCAAGGCACATTGATCAAAAATGGAAAACATATCTTGGATTTACTTGAAAGTATCCAGAAACCAGCAGAAGTTGCCATCATGCATTGCAGAGCACACCAAGCAGGTAAGACCAAACTGGAATTGGGGAATCATTTAGCCAATAAGGCTGCCAAAGAGGCTGCAGAAAAAGGCACATTAGAAAACAAAGTTTTATCTTTAATACCCCTGCCAGAGTTACCTCTCCAAGTAGAGAAACCAGAGTATAGTGTTAGGGACTGTCAATTAACTGAAACCTTAGAAGCAAAATTTCATCCACAAGGCTGGGCAGTTACCCCAACCAGGTAAATAGTAATCCCTGAACAGATCCTGTGTGAAATAGTGGATCACGAACACAAAGCCACTAATTGGAGTACTGAAAAACTTTTCAAACATTTGCAAAAATCTATAATTAGGTCTAAAATGGCTCAGATTGTACAGTCAAGAATCCAACACTGTATAGTTTGTAAAAGAAACAACCCTAACACAGCTAACAAAGTAGCGCTAGGAGCCATAAAATCCAGAAATATTCCGGGTGAATACTGACAGATTGATTTTACTTAATTCCCCAGCTCATAGGGGCTTATTTTGCTGGTGCCCTGTGGCTGAATTCTAATTAGAAGTAGTGCAACAGGTAAGGCTTGGACCCATGCCAAGGACTTTTCCTGACATATTTTACCCAATTGCAATTTGACTGTATAATTCACTTACTCTACTTTGCCACTAGCTTGTGGCCTATAAGGAGTATGAAGATCCCAAGCTATTCCCAAGGCTTTCCTAACCTGTTGTACCACTTCTGCAATAAAGTGGAAACCTATATTGGATGATCAGCATGCTACAATAAAGAATGCCTGCTTTCTAACACTCAGAACCGTGTTAGAAAGTTTCTATCTGGCTGATTTTGGTATAAAAACATCAGGACATCTAGGAAGAGATACACCATAGAGATGGGCTTGTGATCAAGGGGTGGACCTGACCATGGAGGCTATCACACAGGTTATTCACAAATGTGAAACATGCTGCAAAATTAAAGGAGCTACGTGAGCGAAATCTCCCTGGAATAGAGGGCAGTGGATGGGTTTCTGATATGGTGAGGCCTGGCAAATTGACTACATTGGACCACTGCCATGAATACACCATGGCAAGAGCTGCATACTCACCATGCAACTACTGGTTGTCTGGAAACATACACAGTAAACCACGCTACTGCTCAAAACACCATCTTAGGCCTTAAGAGACACATTTTGTGGTGACATGGTACCCCAGAGAGAACTGAGTCAGACAATGGGACTAATTTTCAAAATAACTTTATACACTCTTGGGCAAAGAAACATGGAATTGAGTGGATACATCACAACCCTTATCACCCACAAGTCTCTGGAAAGACTGGGAGGTATAATGGGCTGCTGAAGACTATGTTAAGAGCATTAGGCAATGGGGCATGGAAGCATTGGGATGCAAATTTAGCAGAAGCCACTTGGCTGCTTAACACCAGAGGATCTGCTAACTGCCCTGGTACAGCCCAAAAACCCCCCTACACACTGTGGGGGAAGATAAGGTCCCCATACTACACATAGGGAAGTGTCTGGAGAAGTCAGTGTGGATTTCTCCTCCCACGGGAAAAGGCAAACCTATTTGTTTGATTGTCTTTGCCCAAGGACCAGGGTGTACTTGGTGGGTAATGCTGAAGGATGGGGAGACCTGGTGTGTGCCTTGAGAAGATTTAACCTTGTGGGAAAATAATCTGTGGTGTGAGATGTATGTTGCACAAAGTAAAGCAGCAGAAATTACATGAACTGAGAAAGAGTGAATTTAGTGAGGAGCAAGGAGTGCAACAATGACCTGAGCCGGGCCAGTGTCAGTGCCCAATTATTGAGTGTGCTGTTTCTCCTGTCCTGTCTCTCCAGTATTCTCCTCCACCCCATCAATAGGCTGGGGGTGGGCAAGATCCTGGGAGGGAACACAACTAGGCCAGCTGACCCAAATTAACCAAAGGGATATTCCATACCATATGATGTCAGTTCAAATATAAAAGATAAGGAGGAGGAAGGGGGGGGGGGTATTTGTTATTTACAATATTTGCCTTCTGGAGCAACCACTATGTGTGCTAAAGCCCTGCTTCCTGGGAAATGGCCTGTTGTGGTGCATTCCCCCATTTTTCAGGCTGCACTGTGATCTAATAAATGCTCGTTAGGCCTCCGCCTTGACAAACAGCACCTGGGCTCAGCTCCTCTTGAGCTTATCAGAAACAGTCTGCTCCCAGGAACTGCTGCTGTCTAATAAGCTCCTGTTTTCTTTAAGAACAGCCTTGGAAACTATTTTTCTTGCCTGAACAGCATAACATCCTTGTTCTCACACTTTCAAAGAAAGTATCCTGACCCAAAGTGTGGCCAGAATGAAATACTGTTCTGGCTAAAGCACACTCTCTTGCAGCCCTATCAACAGTGGTCCAAAATGAGAGCCTTTGAGCTCTTCTGGACCACAGTGGGCTGCGACCAGCAACCTCCCTCTGAGTGGGACACCTCTCAGAGCCAGTGAACTCTCAAATTTGCTAAACTCATCGCCAAACAACAAGTCCTAGGCCAATACCCCCACTCCTTAAGGCTCAATCCTTTGCCTGTTGAGGAGATGCAAAAGCATCTGAAGTATTTCACTACCT